ATACATTTATTTTGGGGGATTCTGCCACAATTTTAGGATTTTGCAATCCACTTGCAACTTCGTAATTATATTTCTAGTAAGTACTTCTCAAATTCGCAGCATTTTACCAAGGATGCGTTCATTTGTCATTGACTGAGCCTTAAGGTTTTATGTTTCCAACTTATAAACCTTTTGAGGTTTAGGAGTTTAATTCGGGAAATCCATCTCTTTTAGCTATTCCTGCCTCTGTATGGTTGTTGCTCTTTTGCTCTGCAAGCCTGTAAATTCTTAATGTGATTGTGAACCAAATGGGCACGCTATCCAGGTTTCCTCTAGAAAGCGGAGAATTATTTCGATCTTGACAATAAGCATCAAGAAATAAGGCAGATGGACAAAAAACTGAAATGGATTACAGTGCATTTCACACTCTCAGGTATCTACCTCACAAAGGAACATAAAATGAAACACAAACTCGTTACAAAATAGACTTAATTTTAAAGAAAAGATCTTCAGGCAGACTGGCTCAAAAATCCTTCAAGTGTTCCAAATACGATAACATGGTCAGGGGGAAGCCCCCAGGATGTAAAAGTGGCCCCATCGTTCACGAAATGCTACGGATTTAATAAGCATTTATTAGAGATAAAAACAAAACCAAAAGGTAACTCAAATTAGAAGTCTGCTTATCCCTAGTCAGGAAACTCTACCGATGTCAAAAGGGGTGACATAAAAGAATAGGGACACCCACGTGGATAGGAAAAAAAAAAATCAAAGGGAGAAAGTGAATTTTAAGTGTTCTGGTCTCTAGATGGAGTGGTTTTAGGCAAAGCAGTCTTTGAACCCATTCTGCCTAGAGAAGGCTCATTACTGGAAAGAAAGCTCTTTCTTAGGAGAGAAACTTCTTCCTAGAAAAGCAATTTACTATTTGAGCCTCATGCAAAGAATACAGAGTATCGCAATGAATATCAGCATCAAGCATCAATTGTGGCTGCAGACAAGTGCAGAAACCCTTTCATGACTACTCTTCCAGGAGACTAAAAGCCAAGGACATGCTATTCGCGCTAACTCAATGAAGCAGGTTCAAGGCGCCAGCCTTCCAGAAGAACCAACAGAAGCATTCCTTGCCCCCCTCCCCCACCGCACCGAAACTTCCCTCCTAGATCCCAGAACAGGACAAGGGCCTCTGGGGATGTGGGTTACTTAGGACGTCTGTCTTCCCTCGACCGTGGTTAGGTTCACCCACCCGCCCGATCCTAAACTGACACCCTTCCAGCCGCAGGGTGACAGGCTGTAGAAACGAAATGAACATTCTCACTGCGATTTCCCCGCATCTGCTGTCACCAGGGGCCAGCCTGTGGGGGGGCGTGTGCGCGGACTGCAAGTGCTCCTAATCAAATCCACGTGGGGACGTCTGGCATCTGGATCCCCCAGCTGTGCTACCGCCAGCACAGGCACCATAGTTTGCTAATCATCCAAGTACAAGCACCATAAAGGAAAACACTGGCTCACATGGAATTCTCCTGCTGATGCAAGAGAAGGCACCGATTGAAAGGACAGTAACTACAGAAAAGACTTTTAGAGAAATTCTGCAATGTATACAAATACCAAATCACACTGTGTACCTAAAACTACCATGATGTTATATGTCAATTATACCTCGATAAAAAAATAATAATTGCATTGTGCTAAAGTCTGCCTGCCTCTCTCGTACAGAGCACTAACAGGTGGGGTCCTGGGTCAGGCAGGAGCCCTCGCTGGGCAAGGGGCCTGGCTTTCACACCTGCCCTCACGTCCTCCACACTGAGCAAGAGGGATTGGGTCTGGGGTTTAGCGCCCTTAGACCAGTGTCTCCTAAACCTCTGATGGAAATTAGCTGGGGCACTTCATAAAGATACAAGTTTCTGGGCCCCAACCTACTCCCCCCCACCTAGGAACTTAGCTCTCCAGGGAGGGGCCTGGGGAGCTCTGTTTTTAGCAAGAGCTCCAGGTGATTTTGAACCTCAAAGAAGCTTGGGAGATACCCACATGAGACATTATCAGATGATCTAGAAAAAAGATGGAAGTGAGCCTACAGCCCGCATCTCTCCTCCAGAAAGACACAGCTAACTTTTACTCCAGAACTTCCTCCCACAGCCAGAAGGGGACTACGGTGAAACCAAGAACAGGATTTTGGGGTGCAAAGAGTGGGGAGGCAAAGTGCTCTGGGTAGAGACTGGGGGCGGGAAGCCTGTGTGGCCAAGCACAGACTTCAAGCACTCTGTGTCCCTGAGCCTTGCAGGAGAGAGGAAGTAAGGGAAGCGGAGGGACCGGAGATAGGGCAGGGAGACGGGAGACGGGAGACGGGAGAGCTTCCTGACCAGGGATAAGGAAAGGCCAAGAGTCATTTGCGTGGCATGACTCAGGTCAAGGTGAACATAGAGACATGAAGACACTCCATCTCCAAATCTGCCTACTCGGCTCTGGGGATGGACCAAAGCTATTGTGGGTCGCCCTGGGGACCCCAGCCCGAATGCAAGGATGTCCTTAGAGCACCGTGAGCCCAGCTGGCCACACCTTCAGGGGCTGCAGCCCGGGTCGCCAGGGTCAGGCCCCGTTACCCCTTCTGAGGACGAGCACCAAGGGAGACCAAAGACCTGCATTCCTCAGTCCTGGACAAGCCAGGGCCAGTCTGATCGCAGCTTTGTGCCCAGGAAACTGCTCCCAATATTGAGATTTCCACATGAATAACCACGTCTGAGGCCAGTGGGGAGTTCTAATTAATTCTTCTAAAATTCAAAAATCTAATGGTATTTAAAGAGCAGGGGGAAAAAGGGTAAAAAAAAAAAAAAAGGCCCATAGTTAATATTTACTGACTACTTACCATCCGCCAGGTTTTACACATGACCTCTCCTTTAGGATCAGAAAGATCCTTTGGGGGAGGTGTACAGGTGGGGAAATGGGGGCTCAGAGAGGCCAAGGACCTGCCTTGGGTTACACAGTAAGTGGCATCTGGGATGTGAAAGCAGTTCCAAGTGACAGTCCCTCTTAACCATTATGCTACACTCTCTTTCTGAAATAATAGCTGTAAGAGGCAGCTTTTGATGTTGTTCCCAATGACCCCCACCTCCTGGTAATTATGCCCTTATGCAATCCTCTCCCCTTGACCATGGTGGTGGTGGTGGTGGAGGGACCTGTGACTTGCTTTAACCAAAAGAACACGGCAAAGGTGATGGGATGTCATTGTGCAAGTAAGTTACACAGGATTGTAACGTCTGTCTTGCTGGCAGATTCTCTGGACTCTCTTGATGGCTTTGATGAGGCGTGCTGCCATGCTGGGGAGACCCACACTTGCAGGAACTGAGAGTGGCCTCTAGCCAAGAGCCAGAGGGAAACTGAGGCCCTCCGCCCAACACCCCCTGGGGAACAGAAATTCTCCCAACAACCACTTGGAAACTTGGGGGTCAGATCTCTCCACGGTTGAGACCTCAGATGAGATCCCAGCCCTCGTTGAGACCTTAATGACTCCTCGTAAGAGACCCAGAAGCAGAGGATCCAGCTAAGCCATGCCCAGACTCTCGACCCAGAGAAAGTGTTTTGTTTTAAGCTATTAAGTTTGTGACGATTTATTACCCAGCAAAAGAGAACTAATACCTTGACCTTCATAGAAAGTTTTACTATATACCACAAGTCCTCAGATCATGATGAGCAAAATCAGAGAAGTCTATAAACCTCACCACAAAATTCAGAAATGCAGACCCCAGCTTTGAGAGGTCATCTTGCCTCACCTGAAAAAGCAAAAATGCTGGAACTAGGACACAGGAGTCAGTTCCTCTAAGTGTACCAATCAGTATAAATAGAAAAATTCAAGAGAAGCAGAACTTTCCAACCCAGGAGGCCGCTTTTCCTTCCCAGCAGGGAAAAGCTGAAGAGAGTGTGTATCAGAGAACAGAAACTACCTTCATACCCAATTTTATTCTCCTTTCTTTGGTGTTCGATGCTTAGGGAGTGTATTTCAAAAATACTCCCATTCCTTCTCCAGTGCTTTAAATAGAAAGCAGATGTTTCCGGATGGCAAAACGTTTCTTTAGGCAGACAATATAACCTACTGTTCCCTCGCATAGTCTTCTTAGAGCTGAATAAACACCAATTGCTGCTCATTGAACACATTTTGGAACCTGACAGTAATTGTCCCCAAGAATAATTAGACACTCTGTGCAACATATGTATGTTTGGAATATGAAACCCACTCAGCAGAGACACCACTCCTGCTCGGAACAATTTCTGGCTCCGTGTAAGAGAATTCTGCAAAGAACTGGCATGATTACTTTTTGCAAGG